AGACGCACTGAGGGTCACTGCTAGGAGCAGTGACGGGGCTAAGATTTGACAAGAAGATGAAGTGCCCCAAGCAGAGATGTCTCTCCACAAGAGAGCATGACTTGACACCTAGAAAACAGAGTGGCTGCAGCCAGGAAGGCACCAGGGATGACCCAGTGATGGACCCATCCCTTCTCAGTTTCAGACATGTTTTTTGACGAAGTTCATAAACCCATAGCTCTTACAGGCAGTTTTAGGGATGTAAAGGATATCTGTACACAGCCTCTTGGACAAAGACAACACAGGTCCCAGGACAGTAGGCAGAGGCCAGGTTCAGGAGCGGGAGGGGCAAAAGCAAGAAGGACTAGGGTGAGGGCGTGAGTACACATGGTAAGGCCTGATGGACAAGCTGCTGCCCAATCCTTAAAACTCGAGCTTCTAATCCGAACTCGACACTGGGACCTTCAGAGGGAAGTGACAAAGCTCCTGAGACCCAGTGCTGTGCTGCTGGCCTGTGACTCAATTCTACACCCACCCTGTTCAGATGGAGAGTGAGCTCTGAGCAGAAGCCAATCTTACAGTGCAGAACCACTGAGATGCTTGTAACTACTGCCACAGACAAGCCTCTGTCCCTAACCACTGAGATGCCTACTGTAACTACTGTCACAGACAAGCCTCTGTCCCTAACCTGCATGCAAAGGGAGGCTTCCAGGATCTGAGCATGGGAAGGCTTTCAGTGCAGACAAAGGGCCTGCAAGTATGGCCTCCAAGTCCCTACAGTCAAGCCCCTCACTTAGCACAAGTCAAATGTGGTATCTCTGCAAGACAGTCACTACCTCCCACACTCTCCTTGCCCCTGACAGCAAGATCTGTTACAGTCGAGGTAGGGACTTCCTTGCACTTCAAGGCCAGTCTGTCCTGCAGACACCACCAGACTCCCTGTCAGCCGTGTGGCATGACCTTGGACAGCAAGGGCAGAGCTGCTCGGCTGCCGCACGAAAACCAAGGGATGGGGATGTAGCTCAGGGTATCACACGTGTGATTATCTCACACACGAAAAGGATAAACACACACACACACAAACAGTTCTACAACAGTTCCACAACTCAGTTCTACATCTGGTAAACTGCACTCTTAAACTGACCTATCAAATTGGAAACAAACCCAGCTTACAACTGCTACTGGTGCCTTTCTCAGAACTGGAGTGGTTCCCTTCTGCCAGCTTCCCGACAGGGAAGCCCCTCAGAAGCAGGGACCGTGACAGGAAGGGGAGGCTAACCAGAGGCCTGGACTCAGTACCTCAGCAGCACAGAACTCAGGAGCAGCCTCAGCATCACTACTATGTCCACAGCCACCGGAGCCGGTCGCTCCTCTGAGGCTAGGAAGACGCCACCCAGGAGCTAGGGGACAGTGCCTTCACTGGTTACGTTTCTGTTCTTGTCAGGATGTAATCCTGATTGGTTTTTGGTTTTGAGAGATAAGCTTGCTTGAAAACAGAGGAGGTCTCAAAGCCCACGGGACAGCAGGTGGGTTGTGGCCAGAGACCTTCCTCATAGCTGAGCTTGCTAGACAGGCACAAACATGGGCTTGCTTGAGTTACGGACGATGTGAGGACAGCAGGCCCTAGTGGTCACAAAAGACCATGCTCTAGTGCAGAACACACATGGGAAGACAAATGGCACTCATCCATGACCTGCAGGCTTAGCTGGCTCTCAATGAAAGGCAGAAGCCTGCCCCAGCTACAGGTCCCTGCATATGCTTAGAAGGGACTTGTGGACAGCTGACAGCACATCTGGATGTTTCTGGGAAGTCCTCTCCTTCTTTAAAAAGGGTCCAGAGGTGGGAAAAGGTTAAGTCCTGAGAGACAGAGGGCAGAGGCTGGTAGCACCTGGATCTGCGTGCCATTCAGGGAAGGAGGCACCCTTCTCTGTGATCTCCAAACAGGGACCTAGCAAACACTGGGCCCAGCAGCACCTCAGGTGCCAGTGCCTTCTCCAGGGCCAAGAACAAATGCCCATCATGGACCACCCATCTGCTGTGTCCCTCAGCAGTACCACTCACCGTGCTCAGGGTAGTTGGGAGGAGGAGGCGAAGCAAAGTCCAGCTTGTCTTTTAGATCTGCCTCGTTCTCCTCCTGCCACTGCAGCCCGACCTTCTCCCAGAGGCTAGTGGCTATCTGCCTGCAACATAGAAACGCAGGAGTGGCAGTGAGGTCTGGGTGCCATGAGACCCCTTCCATGAAGGCCCTAACTACAGAAGCCTCAAGGAAACACCTCCTGGGCGGGGGAGAAGGGTTAGGCAAATGGCATCACTTGGCAGGAGTGGCCTTCTGACCAGCTCTGACTACATGGTGACACTACCAGCAGAGGCCTGATGTCCACCTATGGACCCAACAGGGTCTTAATGACTGGAGATAGTTCATATGACACAGGACCACATAGCACACGAAATAAGGGGATGGGCAGACTCTTTGGGCAATTCTAGAGCAGAGAACTGCCACTGGGGAGAAGCTCTTGTTTCAAATCAGCATGACCCTGGAGGGCTAGGGGGCACCACGGCAGCCAGCTGCCCGGCGAAACTTACTGGACCTCAGGCATTTCGTCGCTGAAGCTGCTGAGCAGAAGTGGGATGAGTTTGTGTAAGAAGGAGTAGCGGTCACGGAGATTCAGCAGCCATCCCCCCACCACCGACGTCACTGCCTGCCGGACCTGCCACCAGACAACAGAGAAGCTTTACTCAAGAGTCCCTAGGAAGGGTGGCTCAGAGTCCTGCTGTGGGGATGTTTAGTCCTGAAACAGGGGTGGGCATAGCACCCCCTCTGACAAATGAGAGGACCTCTGCTGATCCAGAAGTTCATGCCACCCACTAGCTCTGTCCTTGGTGGATTCACCACCCCCTAGCAAGATATTGTTTGCAGTCTTCTTTGTCACTGTGATATCTGGGTGCTGCATGGGTGGCAGTGATGATAGAAACCACCTTGTATGACACGTGACAGAACTCCCTGAGAATTCTACAGAAAGCAAATGTGGGACAGAAACATCAGCCCTCACCAGGGTTTGGGTAGAGGTATATATGGGGAACTGGTGCTTACTGGTTAGGGTTTCTGTTTGGGATGATGATAAATGGGGTATTGAAAACAACTGTGACAACAGTGTGGCTGTAACTCACAGTGCTGTGTGTGTAGTACAGGGGATGGAATATAGCACCTCGTCCATGCCGAGCAAGTGTGCCCTATGCCTGAGCTACAGTCCCAACCCTGAGACTATAAACTCAATTCATGCTTTACAAAACCTTTACAAAGCTGCTGAGCACGGTGAGTGGGCGAGTCACATGCATGTGAATTGTGATGTGACAAGAGAGGTATACAAATAAACAAGATAAAAGGCTGTGCTGGGAGCCTGCGGTGGGACGTGGGCAGCATCCACTGTAGGCTGGCACCTGCACAAGTGACGACACAACCTGGAGCAGAGGCAGGAGGGTCCTGATACAGTCAGGCCAACCTAGTCATCACAGGGAGGGGATACTGCCACCTGAACACAACTCTCTGTGTGGAGAGTCTGATGGTCAATACGAGAACGGGAATGACCGTGATGGGGACAGCTCTCAGTTCTTCTGGAGCATGCTGCCCGCTGCCCCTCCTCCCCACCTAATCAGGATCATGTGCCCCCCTTCACTTACTCCTCCTCCCTTGGAGACAGAGCCTGCTGACTACCAGTCTTTTCTCCGTAGGGACATTACCATAAGCCACAACAGCAGATCTGAGACACAGACACGCCTGTGATCTGGATTCTGCCTTCTTAAAGCCAGTGCTGTGTCTACACCTGGAGGGCTTCTGTCTGCCGCCTCCTCAGAGGCTTCCCGACCCACCAGCATGGATTACCCCAGCACTGGACTTCCGCTCTGTCCTTCTCTGCACTGAAATTCTCTCAGTGGGTGAGCACATGGAGACACTTCTATTAACAGAAGCACATGGTTTGAAGGCTGTCAGGCAGAACAACCCCAGTACCTGAGGGACATCATCGAAGAGTCTTTGAGCAAAGTGAGAAAGAACATCATCCACCGAATTCCCGTTGCCAAACTGGATCACAGTGCCCGTGGCTTCGATGACGGCTACCCGGACCTTCCAGTGCTGGTGGGAGACGGTCTGCATCAGGGGGCCTATCAGGGACTCCGACTGCATGTGGAAGTGGTCTGCGGGATAGGGAGCACTGGTTATGAGATACAGCTGCACGGGGCCCTGTTCTGTGGCTACCGTCAAACCTTCCTCTGGACTAGTAAACCAGCCTTGCTAGCCTCAACTCCCACTTTTCCTCTCCAGTGGTGCTGGGAGCTGCCCAGGCCTCCAGGGGGACATGTACATCTATTACAAGGTTGGCTCCCTCCCAGGAAGACTTTCAGTTTAACTATCAGCAGGGCCTCTTATTTGTCCAAACTCTAGCCTAGAAGGCAAAAAGGGAAGGAAGGCTCTGATCAAGCAGAGCTGTTAGAATGTTAGAAATAAACGAAAGGGAGGTGGAGAGAAGTCTCCCTTCACCCAGGAAGTTAGTGACCTGAGTCAGAGACACAGAAGACACTGGAGTGGAGAAACTAAGTTCACAATCTTGAGGTGTCCTTTTCCACGTGAGTCCCATAACCTTTGCATAAGGAAATCTAGGTACCCAGGGAACGAGATCCGACGCTCACCCGGAGTGGCACGCGCCAGAGCGGCTGCGCACTCGCAACCCTCGCGGCGCACCGCGGCGAAGGGATCGAGCAGCGCGCCCCGCAGCGCGCGCACCGCGTCGTCCAGGTGGGGTGCGAGCGCGGCGCCGCCCAGGTCCACGGCCAAGTGGAGCAGTTGCACGAGGGCGAGACGCAGCTCTTCGCAGGGTTCAGGAGGCGGCCGCGTGGGTTCAGGTCGGGCCAGGCGCGCGGTGAGCGCGGGCAACAGGCGCGGCAGAGCGTCGCCGGGCCGCGCGGCGCGGCGCAGGCCTAAGTCCAGCAGGTGAGCAGCCAACGCGCGGCAGCCCTCGGCCGGATCGGTCAGAAGTCGCAACAGGCGCGGCAGCAGGAGACGAGCCCAGGGGCCCTGGAAAGCAGCGGAATCCGCTCCGGGCCGCACCGCCTCTTCCAGTGCGTGCTCCAGAGCCTCGAGAGCGCGCCGCCGCCCCAGCTTACTTTCGGTCTCCAGCCCCGGTAGCAGGCGGCCTAGCGCGCGGGTCAGTTCCGCTGCTTCAGCCGCCTCGGTGAAGCCCGCGGCCACCTCCGCCTCCGCCGGCGCCGCCATCTTGAGCGCGTTGCCTGTCTCCAAGGGAACCGGCGCTAGCACGATGGTCGTAGCACGCTTTACGGCAAGACTTCCGGCTGACTCGGTTGCTCGAGGCAGCATGTGCGCCTCTTAGGAGGGACGCTGGGAGAAGGGCAGGGAGTAAGCGGTAAAGGGCGGGGCCAGGGGAAGTGGGCGGACAAAGGGCTTAGAGGGCGGAGTGACGGGCAGGAGGACGAGAGAGGGGGCGAAGAGAAAGTGTAATTGGCTGGGTCCCGGAGTCGAGGGTGGGGCGAGGGAGAAGGCAGCGAGCTCCGTAAGGGCCTTGGGTGGAAGAGGTAGTGGGCGGTACGAGGGGGAGGTGGGCGGGACACGGGCCTCTTGGGGAGGGGCTTAGTGTAAAGAGAGGGGAATAAGGGGTAATGGGAGGGGAAAGAACCAGACTGGCGGGACGTGGACTTGGGGAGCGTTGCAGGAGGTGGCAGGTGGAGCCC